ACGAGTGAAGCTGCTGCCGGGGCAAGAGTGTACAAGAAAGGAGGGGATTGAGGTGGGATGTAACGCCCAGGCCAAAGCATAATCCGGCTCACATATGTTTGCATGACATGACATACATACATACATGTATGCGGACATACACGCACAGAGCCAGTGCGCAGTTGCCGTCACTGAACACACAAAGGCACACATATAGGCACACTGCTACAGAAGAAACACACACACACATACAAACATACACACACACCCCTTCATCGAATTTCATCTCCATTCCCCACCTCTTCCTCCCCCCCCCCCATCTCCCCCCCCTCCAACCCCCCACCCCACCCCCGCGCTCCACCTGGTCAATAAAGTCCACGGCATCATCCGACATGAAGTCTGGGTACTCGGCCTCCCGCATCAAGATACCCTCCACGGTAGTGTTGGGGTCGTCCGTGTTGAAGGGGGGAGTACCCACCAACACATCGTACGCCATGATACCCACACCCCAGATGTCAACCTGCGCGGGGGGCCGCAGGGGGAAATGACCGGGGGGGGCGGCCCGCGTCCCGGGTCCCCGGTGTGTGTGAGTGAGTGTGTGTATTGTGGGAGGAAAAAGGGGGGGAAAAGGGCGAATCAACACCGGGGATGGGGAAGTATGCGGATATGGTGGTGACGTGCCCTACCTCCCCCTCCCTGCACCGGGGCCCTTGCGTCCCCACCCCCACCTTGTAGTCGTAGTGGGTGACCTGCTGCTGCTTGGCATTGGGCCCATTCAGCACGAACACCTCCGGCGCCACGTAATCCAGGGTACCCACCATGTCTTTGGGGTAGCTGCACTTGGTGGGGGGGCGAGGGGGGGAAGAGGAACAGTCAGGTCGGGGGTTGGAGATATGGTGTGTGGGTGCGTGCTGGGTGGGTGGTGTGTGGGTGTGGGTAGGAGGAGGGGGGCATTGGAGTTGTGTTTGCGGGGCGTGCAGTGTTGGAATCGTCGCAGAGGGGGAGGCGGGGGAGAGTGGTTCTTCTTGTGAATGCCCCTCAGGCACCCATCCAAACCCAACCCCATGTAAATGTAAGCCTAGCCTAACACCGCCTTGGGCCTTATAGAGGAGGTTTCGAGCCGGCAGACATGCATGGGTGGGTGTGGAGCTGTGGACTCAGAGTTAAACAACGGCGCCATGTGGTGGTGGGGGTGAGCGGGAACCCCCGCAACGTGCCCAGCGTGTTACCGGGGTCCACCGGCCTCCGCGGCCTCAGTGTGAGCTGCGGCCTCGACACGGGTTGGGGCGCCCGCGCGCGCGAGAGCTATGGGTCTTATTCCTACCTCCCGATAGACAGACAGACAGACAGAGACACACACCTCTCATATCCAGCAGGGCGGGGCCCCACACGCACAGCTCCTACCTGTATCTGTTCACATCCCAGGACAGAAAGAACCCGGACAGCTTGGCCACCTTCTCACTGTTGAAGAGCACGTGCTCGGGCTGGGAGGGGTAGGGTAGGGTAGGGTAGGGTCGGGT